CATTACAATTTAAAGATAGTTTAGGAAGCTAAACACAGAGTGGAAATCGATATCATGGTAGATGTCAGCATTAAGTACAGATTACTTAATCTGTAATTCAAAATCAGATATATTTCAAAACCCATAAATTTCTGGCCTTATAAATAAATAAAAATGTATGACCCTATAAAGAACTTCAAGGCCAGCCAGTATGGAAGTGCTTAATGTACAACTTGGTTACAATAAAATGAGTAACAGTACAACATTTTTATCCACTAGAGAAGAAAGAATCAAAATTAGACTTGGTAGCAAACTGCTATTTCACTGCTAAGTTACTAAGAACAAATTGTATATATTCTCAACTTTGGATCAAAGTGTTTTAATATGGTACTTTATCTAACAGATCAGAATTAAAAAACATTTTTCACAAGTGGTACATCAATAATAGTTCATCAGTATTTATGCATAGCTCAACATATGTATAAATTGGTTGAACAGTAGGAGATATATTACTTCCTGCACTGAAATATAATAGTTTTCAGGGCCTTTTTAATGTACTTACATAATTAATAATAATGGACATTTACTGAATCAGCCTTAGGATTTAAATAAAATAGATTGGATTCCATGTCACACTGAGCTGAGTGTGTTGTATTTTTTTTAATCATAATAACCATAATTAACCAAACCATATTTTAGTGTAATATAGGAAGCCATTTATAGATTGATTCTAGATACATTGCATGGGAATATATTTTATGGCAGTGGATTATATATATTTCATCATTACATATTTAGGGCTGTTCCCTCAAACTGGAGGTAAAGTTCTACTGTAACTAACCTATTCTCAAAAGATGGTTTAACTACTGGGAATGCCAGACATTGAATGGTGATAATCTTTAATGTTTCAAAAACACTAAAGAAATGTTAAAGTTAAAAGAAGGTAATGCTTTTGATTTTATAAAAGAATTATGATAGCAGTAAGCCTCTTTTCTGAATTCCTACATGCCTTAGATTGATAACATGAGGTAAAATGTGTTGGTGCTCTTAAAAATATGCACACTGGCATAGGTTTATTCTCTTAAAACTAAGTTTAGATTTCAATTGATTTCCATTCATGATTCCAGCCCAAGGTGACAAAAAAGTGAAACACATCTAATTTATCCAACACCTTACAATAGACTCTCTCAGTGCTGGTAAAGTAAAAGTGAGTGTGAGTTTTTCAGCATAATGATGCCAAGTTAGTATGGGAATAACATTAGATAGTTCACACATATACTTAGCCAGGGTATTTTAAAAGACTGTTTAAAAAGCCATAGCAGTCTAATTTATGTATTTAGCAGGTCTACACATTATGTTATATCAAAAGCAAACTAATCACTTGAAAGTTTAGCATGGTATGGCAATCAGTCCCATGTGCTGGAGTCATCACAATATCTTTAAGTCACTAATATGGAAAGAAGACTAGAAAATATCTCATCTGAATGCAAGAGAAATCAAGGAAGAATACGAGGCATATTCTTCCACCTTTAATCCATCATGCAGTTCAAAAGATTAGGGACAGGAATGACTTTGCAATAAGTAGGTAGTACATTGCTACATTAGTGGGCAATCTGAAGACCACATACATTACCCCAGCCCCGCTTTTGCTGTCCCCAGAATCCCACTGCTGCTCACTGAGCCAAATTTCAAAGTGTTTTGAAGGGGAGGGCCAGCAGTGAAATGTGTGCTGTAGAGGCTTAAACTGCATACTTCATCTCTGAACTTCTATCTTCCTGCTCCCTAAAATTGGACGAATTTATCTTATTTGGATTCTTTAAGTCTGTATGAGACAAAAAGGGGTGAAAAAATTGGTGCCACTCACTGTAATGACATCACAATTCTCAAGCCACAGCACCTATGAGCAAAGTGTAACCTGCATCAACACATGAAATAACTTTAGCATGTTTATTCTGAATCTACAAAAACAGCAATGAGAATAAAGTGGGTGTAAAACAAAAGAAACATTTCATCAGTAATGTTGCACAGCTCCATTTCTGTTGTTCCCACAACAACAAATGTAATTACGCAAGATAGTTTTGCAAGTAATAATGTGAGCATGGCCTCAATTTCTATACACGAGTATCAGTGTGGCCCTGCCTAAATTTAGCTCCCAACATGCACCTTGCTCTTTGCATTCCCAAATGTTTTTTCTTATTTGAATAAACAGCATATAAAGACCAACTTTAAAATTAAACTTCAAAAAATTTCTATGAATGCATCGATCAACTGTTGAAAACTCATGTAGTATAGTATTTAAGTAAAGAAAGTGATTATTTTTCTTCCTTACTCATCTTACTAAAATTCAAGTCCTTCAGGACAGAGTAAAGGAAATCCTTCTTTGCACAATGTATAATTATTATATGGGATTAAGCATAAGATGTAGTTGAGGCTATTAGCTTCAGGCAGTGTTTCTCAACTTTGGCAACTTTAAGATACATGCTGGGTGGGGAATTCTGGGAGTTGAAGTCCACACATTTTAAAGTTGTCAAGGTTGAGAGACACTGGCTTGGACAGTATTAAAAGAGTGTTGAAGCAATATGAAGGCGAGGAACTGTAGAGTGAGAAGCTGTCGCTAAAATGACCAAACTTAGCTGCTACAATTTCAGTATGAATACAATTGGTGCCATAATGTAATTTTTTCTTCTTCTGGAAAGGAAGTAGACAAATATTGCTTGTGCAATTCTGAGAAGTCCCTTTGAACACAGAAACACATTAGAAGCATAAGAGCACTACAAAATGATTTACTGAATACAGTCTGAAATCAGACAGTTACAGCCTTGAAAAGTATTTTTTTAAAAAGGCAAAGTTACTTGCATTTCAAGGAAATAAGAACACTAATGAAATTCTACATTGTAGAAGTTAGTCATATATGCTACCATACTGGTTTTGGATGGAAACAACTGTAAGACTGTGATCTCTTTCTCTCTATATATATATAAAGCCTCATTCAAGGGAAGCCTGTTACTGGTGTTATGGATCTATAACAAAAAGGAATGCACTAACACAAATGGTGGTATGTTACCCTGATGCATGTTTCTCAACCTTGGCAACTTTAAGATGTGTGGACTTCAACTCCTAGAATGGCTGGCTTGGGGACTCTTGGAGTTGAAGGCCCCACGCACCAAGGGAAAATACCACCCTTTGTGTTTGTGC